ATATTGGTGGAGTCCATACGAGCGGTACAGTTGGGCGGGTAATATCGACCCAACTGTGATTAAATTCATGGCGCGAGGCGGGCGTTTGTAGCTTAGCAGTTAGAGCGCTGGTTTCCGGTAAAGGCCTTCTCTACTACAGGGGTTCGCATCCCGCCGAACGCCTCAATTTTTTCACAATTGGGTCAACTCAAATCCTATAACTGTATCAATAGGTGACAATAGGTTGCTATATAAATACCTAGAAGAGAAAAATTTAGCAGACATTTACTTATTTGATGTTTTTCGTTGCACAAATTTCGCTGCTCGTTCGCCATGATTTCCCAAACTTTAAAATTCGCATTACCATCATTCCCGTTCTACCCGATGCCGTGTTTTGGGATAGTTAAGGGGGCTTACATAACCAACCGTTCCCGACATTCTTTCTGAAATGTCTTTATGCCTTTCGGCCGTCAGAGAGAAGGGGCAGCTCAACGATTTCCACCGATGTGTGCCCAAAAGCGTCACAAAAGAGTATCATGGATCTCCTAACAAAGGTCGACGCAAACTATAGTCGCATGCATGGACAAACACTTGCATGCATCTGACTCATGACTACGTAGGCCACTTCGTGGACGTACCGTTGAGGTCGCACATTCCGTGCAGACCAAGTGCAGCGCGTACTGAAGGAAGTTAAGGGGTGCACTGCCAGCTGTGGCGACAAGCAAATCTGCGAGAGAAGAAGAAAGAAAGGAAGGGGCGGGGGGGTTATCGGTCAGAAGACTTTTTGTGATTGTTTAAGCAGGCAAGCAGACAAAATGCACTTCGTCCATTAAACAAAAATGATTTATGCAAGGCTAGACTCCAACTGACACAGTACGGCGAAAGCACCTTAAAAGGACGGAGGCTGAAACCTATTTGATCTTCGAAAAAAGACAGCGACAATAGGTCGTTTCGGTACATCATCATCATCATCGCATGCACACCGACGACGACGGGGAATAAAGGCCCTACTTCATTCAGGCGTCGCCTTGCTAAGCGAATTAAAGCCCGCGGTTGTGTTCATGCGTGGACGGCCCTTCAAATGCTGTTGCTGTTCCCTCTCTCTCTGTCACACACCTCTTGCGTCCAGACAAAGCAACTTTTTGCGGCATGCATGGGTTGAGTGGGGCATCGTGCAAATCCTCATATGGGGAGGGGGGGGCG